GAAGCAACACTGAGCTGCAGCAGCAGTGCTGAGCGAGCTTTTGCATCCCCACAGCTGCACCGTGCTTGTCCATGCTGCAGAGACAAGGGGAGCACAAGGCAGATGATGACACAGTAACTAACCTGGTACTTCTAAGCAGAAACACATGACACAACAGTCCAAGAGTTACACAGGAGCTTAGTGGCTACAAAGAAAAATCATGCTGCTATAATAAAAAGAGTACAGAAAAGGGAAATTCCCTATGCGTGGTTCACAGCTTAAAGTTGAAGGAAACCTTCACATATTCTTTTACAGTAACAATGCAGAAGAACTACAGTTTTGGTTGTAGCTGCAGAATGTTGTTACTGCCCATAAAAATGGTGTTATTGTTCCAGGATGAGCCACAGAGGGATAAAATACGACTGGGCCAAGGGAACCTGGGTGGAAAGGACTGTTACCTTACCAGGAGGGCAAAGCAGGACAGACAAAACTGGGAACAAAGACTAACCAGCTGTAAGATCCCTGCTTAACCAGACAGAAAGCTAAACATTGCTATTTGGCTACAGCAAGGTAAAACAGCAGTGTGAGATGGGGAAAATTAGGATGCACAAAAAGGATGGGAAGATGCTGAGGGAGGCACCACTCAATGACTGCAGGGAATAATAGGGGCTGCACCTTCCAGAGCAGAGCTCTGAATATGAGACAGTGACTTGTGGAAAGTACAACAGGACCATGGAGGAGGGAGGTGCTAGAAAGTGATAACAGAACACTGTGACAGGGAGCTATGGCTGGGATGTGCAGAGGTTCTCAAGGCATGGGGAGATGAGGAAGGAGCCTGTGGCAACTGTGACATGAGGAGAAAAGGGGAGATGCAGCTTCATGGGGTGAGGATGCCCTTGAGGATTCAAATACCAGGTAAATGGAGCAGCACAAGGGAGTAGGAGCCCAAATCTGACCTCCATGACTCCAAGAAAATATTACAGGGAAAGAGGGTAAGGAAGGAAAGAAGACAGACGGGGTCCTGCTGAGCCTGGGCACACTGCTCACTGAGCTGGGTAAAGCTCCCTGGGAGGTCTGAACCTGGGCCCTGGGAAGAAGGTGGCCTAAGCTGGGCTGCTGGGGAAGGGAACTGGAGAGTTCAGAGAGGCCTCGGGGGCAGCTCCAGGAGCCCCTGAGGGCAGTGTGTGGGGCACTGGCAGACTCTGAAGGGCATTTAGGGGGCAGCTGTTAACGGGCACCTGAGAACAGTTCATTATGGGGATCCCTGAGGGGCAGTTCGGGGTTCACAGGAACTGGAAAGCTGTAGGGGGTGTTGTCAGGGGGTCTCTGCAGTGGGGGTTGAGGGTCGCCGGCAGAACCCGGAGGGATGGTTGGGCTGTCACCGAAAACGACGGGATAAATAAACCTTTCTAACACAGACAATATTTGTTACAATTAAAGATTTTCCAGCCAACAGGGGGAAAGGGGGAAATGGCCCAGTCCCTGAGGGGTGCCTTGGCGGATGTGAGGTGGTCACAGGCAGATCCCTGAGGGGTCGTTGTGAGGGGAGAGGAGTGGGATGTGAGGGCGATCGCCGGCAGCTCCCTGAGGGACGGGTTCGGTGGCAGGCCCCAGGGGAAAGCTTCGGGGGTCTCTGGCAACTCCCAGGGCGGCCCGGGCTGGCGGAGGCACGGACCGTGCCGGGCGGGAGGGAGAGGCGGCGGCACCGAGCGTATCGCGGAGGCAGCGCCGGCCGCAGCGCCGCCAGGACCCCGAGGCCCTGCCCGCGGCCCCCTCCCGCCGCACGCACCTTCTGGCGGATCTGCCCGGACGTCGAGACTTTGCGGATGAGCTTCTGCAGGGAGCCGGGCTCCTGCTCCGGCTCGCTGTCCGACGACTCCTCGGGCGCGGCACCGGCGACCGGCTCTGGCTGTGTCTGCTCAGCCCCCGCCGCCGCCGCCATGCTGCACGGACCGGCGGCGCGCCCGGCGCCCCCTACCGGCCCCGCGCGCGCGGCGCCCCCCAGCGGCGGCCGCGTCACATGGCGGCGGCGGAGGGGCGGAGGGGCGGGAGGGGCGGGAGGGGCCGGGGCGGGGAAGGGCAGGCCGCCGTAGCGGGACGGTCACGGCCGCCCTGCCCCTCCGCGGCTCCCTGCGACCGCCCGGGCGCCGATCGCAACGGCCCGGCCGTAGCTCCTTGAAGCCTGGACAAAGGTGTTCAGCCTAGCCCTCCCCGCTGAGGCGAGCCCGACAGCCGAGACCGCGGTCCCCATTCCTTCCCATTCTTCGTGGCTACTGCAGCACAGAATCACAGAGTCACTCGGGTTGGAAAAGACCTCTGACATCATCGAGTCCGACCCATAACCAAACACCATGTTATCAACCAGACTACAGGACTAAGTGCCACGTTCCGTCATTCCTCGAACACACCACCACCTCCCTGCACAGCCCCTCCCAAAGCTCTCCCCGTGCCCCCAGGATTTAATGAAATGCTGCGAGCACACCCTGCTACCCAGGCTCCACCTGCCGAGAGCCCCCGTCCCGAAGGGCCCTTCAGGGGCGCTGAGGCCGGGCCGAGCTCGCAGCACCCCCGGCCCGGCCCCACTCCATTGGCAGTGTCGGGTAATTTCCTCCCACCTCTCCAACACCCATCAGCCATGGGCAGTGCAGAGCTCCTGCTGGGATAACATGGAGATGTGTGAGGGGAAAGCGTCTGTCACGAAACCCGTCCTGTCATGTATCTGCTCTGAGCTGTCTTCAAACAGCAGGTCCAGAGATGCCATCGTTCCCCGAGCGCATCCCTCTCCGGGAGCTGGCGAGCCCTTTGCAAACAGAGTCCCGCCACATCAAAGCCGCGGAGTCAGGAAATTGGATCTGCTCTGCCCCAGCGGTAAACAGGAGGAGCAGGCCACAGGTCTGACTCGGTAGATCAACATAACACCAGAACCAGAAGAAAGGGAAGATAAAAGGCAAACAGTTCTGGCTAGAGACCGATTTTCTGCTGACAGAAGTCAGCATCTGCTGGCTGAAGGGCCAGAGAAAAGTCCAGCTTGTCCTGCAGGACAGGGAAAACTCTCCTTTCTCTCTGAGTAAATGACCAGCATGAGCTGAACAAATAGCATTTCAAAGTGCTTTCCCAAGCCCGGACAAAAGAACAGATTTAATAACCATTAACAACCATTTCCTCCCCACTGCACAACAGAGTGCACTGTGATTTTGTCCCACTTAGCTTAGAGAAGTCATCACCACAGCTGAATTTAAGAGGAAGGCAGGCAGCAACAGAGGCCCCTCACAACGTTGACATATAATAAATTTAAAAAATAATAAAAATAATCAGATCTCTGAGTTTACTGGTCCCATACTTACAGGTCTAGTAGCCAGAAACGCTGAAGGAAACACCTTTGTGGAGAAAGATACACTTTGAAGTAAGACCTGTTCCCCTCCTTCTCTTAGATCTTTAAAGGATTTTCTGAACTCCTGCTCTCCAAGACCAGCATATTCACAACCAGTGATTTCTTCAACCTTACTGTATCTTCTATGTGTTCTCGAGCCACCAACAAATTAGTAATAAAAATACCAGGGAAAATCCCAGACATCCAGGTGCAAATGCTTGACCCTCCCCCAAAGCTGAAATCACACAGAAATTATCCTGATCACAAACACCTGGAACCTGCCGGGTTCTTTAGCAGCAAAGCACCCAGTGCAGAGCAAACATTGTGCCTCCTGCAATTCAAGCTAAGGTGAGACACCTGTGACTAATGGACAGAACTGAGGGACAGGTGTGTTAGGGGAGAGCACTGATGGAACTCTGAAGTCAGCTGTGGTCTTAAATAACTGCTTCCAGCATCTTAATCAAGACCAGTTTACAGAAGCAAACAGATATAAATGTGAAGGTTTTAATTCTATTTTCCAGAGTGGAGGGTGGGAAACGTAAGTCTATATTAATAAATGTGGGCCCTGCATTCAGACTTTCCAGGGAAATTTAAACCAGGGACACTGAAAAGCAGATTAAAAGCAAAAATGAGAAAAATAAAACAGCAGTTGTTTTACATGCAAAATGTAATAAGCAGATGCAACTCACTTCAGCAAAAACTTACATGAGATTCAGGAAAATATGTGACATTTACATGGATAATGAGAATATCCAGATGAACAAGAGAAAACAAAGTTTGCAGAATGCAATCTCATTTCTTAGAGCATAAACCAACTGCTGGCAGATGGATGTTGGGAAAGGCTCCTCAGGGAAGGCTGCGCCATAATTTCCTCCTTAATTTTCCTGCACCTTCTTTTGAAGCAGTTGCCTACAGGAAACTAGATTAAATACAGACTCTGTCTGGACTTGTACTTCTGTTTGGCATTCTATATAGGGAGCTTTAAGCAATTCATTGACAGTGCACATTTATCTCATCTTTAATAACCTGGTTATTAAGCATATTGCTAGAAAGCTAATACTGTTTATCAGCATTGTCTGTGCTGTGGGAGACAACCTGTGAGACATTTAATGGTACAGAAAGTGAATGTAAAAGCCACATGGGGACAGTGCAAGCACTGAAAAAACTCACTGGCTGAATTTGGTAAAGCATAAACGCAAAAGCAACCAAAAGGAAATAAAATGAGTTTTGCACAGTCTGCTGAGAAACTTTGATGAATCGCCCATGGCTGCAAGCCAGCCTTCCAGGCTAGGATTTCGTTCACTGGCACTTCAAAGTCACAGACTCTGACACTGAGGAAGTCCAGGCAGGCTGCATAAACCCTCATTTAAGCTCTCACCAGTGCTGAAAGCAACCAACCTTTTTATTAGGCAGCCCTGAAAGCAGAAGTCATGATATGGCAGATGTCCTGTCATCCTCTGGTAGCTTGAGTAAGAAGCAGGTGTTGTGTTTGCCCCATTCAAGGTGAATCTTGTAACAAGCAATAGAGACTCCTGATATCATGTCCACTGACCTCAGGGCTGACCCTGGAAGACCATGTATGAACTGAAAACATCAGATTACTAGAAACTTAGGTCCTACATTTGTAATTGAAGCCAGACAACACAGCTCCTTTGTCAGCCTGTTCTTTTAATCACTCATCAGTTGAGGGTGAATTCTTGTCCTCTTCATCAGGTGTACTCTTTAGCTTCTGACGAGCAAACTCCTCAAATACAAGCTCTGCTTCTCTGTAATGAAAGAAACACAGATCTTTCAAAATGATGTTACTCTATTTTTACACCAGTAGACTGTAGGCAACACATAGGATGAAGAAGAGAAGCCCACAACAGACTGGTAACGTTTCCTTTGTCTCAAAGTGATTTGGATCACATTCCCACAGGCACCATCTTCACTGGTGCTATTCTAGCTAAAATGAAAAGCAGTTTATTGAGCAAGTCAAGGCACAAACTGAGGATGTTTTTCATCTGAACTGAATCATGTCCATTCCAGATACATATTTATCAGCTAGCTGAACAGCCTTGCAAGGGACTTTGTTCAGGAATAAAATGCGAAACATTTCACCCTTATTCCTTCTGTACTAAAACAGAGACACATGGTCAAACCTAATAAGTTCCTTACACTTCCAGCTATAAAGCACAAACACATCCCTCCTGGGTGTGTTTGTGCTGTTAGGCAAAACACAATCTCTTAATCTAGCTTCACATGGCCAGTCACTGCTGATTAACTCAGAGCAGTCATTTGTCAGGCCACAGTAACTTGCTCACTTTGAATTTTAAGCTGGGGATTTCTGGACAGTTTTGAGGAGTTTTAAAAAGAGTCAATGCACAAGTGTAGCTAGAATGTGAAGTACTAAAAGAAACTTACCCATCCTTCCCTGCAGTCACGAGCATGCAGCAAAGGAGGAAAAGAGACACACTGGGTAGTCAGTACAGCAGATGGCTAAAACACTTGCAAAATGTTTAATGCAAAAAACGTACAGACTGACAAGTCAGAGCAGTGACAAGAGCAGGATTTGCAGCAGTACAAGTAGAATTCCAGAAAGTCTCAAAATGTGCATAACTACACCTGATGAGGCAAATCTTGATCTCTCAAATGGAAAAGCATTCCAGCAATGCTGCCCAAGCTATCTGAAGGGCTGAGGAAGAAAGAGATTTTCCCATCTACACTTGCTCATGGTCACAGCTGTGGGAGACATCTGTACACACACTTGGACTCTGAGCTGACAGTGCTTGCATGACATGATGTCAGCTTTAGTTGCTCTATCACTGTGATTGAAGAAGTCAGCTTAGACTTAGATGAGAAGACAATGCTTTTGTTCAATAAACATGAAGGCATTAAAATTGGAAGTCAAAGTACAGAAACACCTCAGGGATCTCTCATCAGATGGGTTAAGGCTTTTGGAGCAACATTCCTGATTTCATCTTGCCCTAAAAATGGTTTCAAGACTTTTGGCATTTGTGTTTCTTTAGTGGGATCTTTCCTAACCACACTATAACAAATCCTGCTTACTAGCAGAACTCCTTGAAAGTTGTTTCAGCACAGCCTAAAATAAACAGAAGACTGTATTTGCAGGGATTTTATTGTTCTCACAGTTATTTTAGGAAGGCATAGTCACTTAACTGGCTTACTTCTCATGGCTTTGGGTCAGGGAGCCAAGCATCCTTGTTCTACAGAAGCAAAAATCTGGGGCACTTCAGTGACTGGATAACTCACTACCTGGAGACTTCCCATCCACAACACACAATGCTAGAAAAGTCAGCATTAAAAGTGTGCCAAAGGGGGCCACTCCAGCCAAAATGCCTCAAAGGATGGCTCATGTAAAGACACTCCTGATGGAATCTCTCCAGACCAAGACAGAAGCCAAGATGAAGTCTGGAAAGTCTCAGGGCATGTATGCTTGATTGACATGGATTTAAAATGAAACATTTAGAACTTCTAAAATTTCCAACATATAAAGCATCATTCTCATTCCATTTTTTCTCCTTTAGTCTGCTCTCCTTCCCCTCTTGGAGGCACTTTCATCACTATGGGACAGTGATATCAGTGATGTGGGTGAAGCTGAGCAAGATCCCCACCAGTGATCTGAAACTGATTTTACAAAATGGAGTGAGGGGGAAATAGCTATTGTTTCAATTGGGCACAGACTTAACTGTCAGGTAAATGATTACTGAGTCAATACACAGATAGTGTGGCAGCAGAGTAGTGCTTGTAATGTACCTCAGATGGAAGATTACATTCAAAAATGCACCACTGCACCTTCAGGCTGCAGCACTAACTCCAACATGCTCCAATTGCATGCTAGCAGAAGTTAGATCCACTCCAGAGTTTTCTGGCTGTCCTGTGGCTTATTTAATATTATAATACTGAAAAAAATCTCAGAAAATGGGTAACTTTTACTTTTTTAATTAGCATTCCAGCAATTGTTTTGAGGGTTGGGATGGGAAGGGGATTGATGAGGGTCCAGAATACCATCGTCCTCTCAGGGGAGGGTTTTCTGGAAGCTTTTATTATGCAGCCACAGAAATTATTCCATATAGCTCAAGTCATAACATGTGGTAATTTTCAGTACAAACTTTCATTTAACCTCTCTTAACTTGATGGGGAGAAAAGAAAAAGAGATTGGATTTTGTTATTTTCCAAGACATTCAGTGCTTTAAAATGTCCTAATTTCTGAACGTCACAATACCAAAACAGGGAAAGTATTGCTTTATTTTACTGTTAGAGGGATAAAGCATTCCTGGGTTTTTTGAAAACAGCCCTTTTGTGCAAGTTTAATCAGGGAGCAGATAAATGACCATTTGTTGAACAACAGCCAAAACAAAGGCCAGTGTCCAAGACATAAGCCCACAAAACATCAAACATCAGAAGACTGGCAGGAAAACCCCAGACCAAAGAATTCATGCTGAGACCACAGCCTTGAGGAAAACTCAGCAGGAACTTCTGGGCTAACTGCTGACCAGGAAAGGTTGGAAGCATGAAGAGACATAGCCCACTTTGAATGTATCTTTAAAAGAAACAGATCCTTACACATTTTTTGTCACATTGGCACAGACTGCCAATGTGACAGGAGCTGCTTTGCCTAAAAATAACCACATGTGAACCACATGGGTCCAAAAACAGTCACAAAACCAGCACACATGAAACATGCAAATCCTGGCCTAGCAGAAGATCAAGAGAAGGAAGTGATAAACACAGGGAGGCAAAGGTAGCAAGCTGCTTTTTTTCTGTCTCCTGCAGGCACAGGGAAGAAAGATCAAGCAATCTGCAATGGCCATGCACTGTGACAGACCTGCTGTTTACTGAGTGATGAATGCTTCAGAGCTTGCTCACAGACAGCTAGAGAGGGCAAAGCTATCTGCTGTGAAACAGAGCACACAGGACTTGCTCACACTTGCCCTAGCTTGGCCCTGAAAATATTGCCTCATGTTCTTGGGGAGCTCTTATGTCTCTGAGGTTCCCTGTGCTCCAGTCAGCCCTGCATGATTAAATGCATTGATGCTACACGTTAGTTCTGCCATAAATCACCTTGGCTAGAGAAAAGGATATTCCCCCACTGCAAAATAAATCACAATGTGTGGCATTTTTTAATCCCACTCCAGCTTTAACTCCATAAGATGGTTGCTCTGATTTCTTTCTGTTCTTCCAGCTGTGCCTTAAGACAGTCAAGTGAGCAGGAAGGTGCAGTAGGCAAACTGGTCACTACTGGCTCATCAATAAAAACAAAAGGGAATGGAAAAAGAAGATAAGGAGTGATCTCAAAACTCCCTGTGCATGCACCTCTGCCTACACTCACTGCAGAGGCTGCTGAACAAGCCAACAAAGAAAAATTCCATCTTTTGGGACCTCTGAGATTCCAAACAGTGTTTGTTGAAACTCCATCTCGACAATTAAGCCTGGATTTGCTTGATTCCAAACTAGATGGCATTTCACTAATGAAACACATTATGTTTCTCAGAGTTCATGAGCTAAAGTGGTAGAAGAAAAAATTAAAAAGCCTGAACTCACAACTGGGAAAAGTGATAAAGCACAGTGCATGGAAAACTACCAACCAATAAAGCTGAAAAGTGTTTCAGTTTACCAGCTTCATATGGGAGACTGTTTTATTCCCTGTAATAAGCTCAGACACCACATTCCAACACAGTTTTCAAGTCAGCTATTCAGGCTTCAGAGGAATTTTCTGTTGTGTTAGAGTATCTGTTTTTAAGAGAAAGCACTTATTTCCTGTGTTAACCATTTGCAGGGCTTTCCCATGGGAGAGATCCTGAAATTACCTGCATTTTTTTCAGTTTATAAGAAACCTGGTATTTCCATCTGTACAAAATGCATGGAACATAGCTGACACTTCTGACAGCAGGCTTCTAGAAGACTTTGATGTAGCAAACAACATGTGGGCTGTGCCTCTGGTAAGAGGATGTGCTGGGGGAAGTGATCTGAGAAATACTGCAGGTCTCCATTTTCATGGTAAAGTCTCTGCCCACATCCTTTTGGGTGTACTGCATAAAGGAGTACATCATCCCTCCTTTGAAATGATCTTAGAAGGGAGAATTGCCTGACTTCCATTTTTCCTCATATTACAAATGCTTCTGCCAAAAGTATAAAGTAATAAAAAGGGGTTGTTGGCATTTTTAACACCAAAAAAGTCATGCAAAAAATTCACACAATTCTAAAAATGTAAAACTCCTTACAATTGCCTAAACCTTTGGATGAGCCTTGTTAGAAGCTTCCAAGCTTTCCTTGGTGTCCATGAAAGCTCCTGAGCTGCCCAGAGGCACTAGATGGCCCTCACCAGCCACACTCCTGGGATCACCAGTGCCATCCCAGCCTCCACCACTTCTGTGCCAAGAGAATGTGCTGGCACTGCTCACAGCAGGGGCTTTCCCAGGGAAAATGAGTTTCCTGTAGTGCAACTGTTAGAGGAGAGATAAAAGCTACCTTTGCCAACTCCAGCACATCCATAATTAGCAAAGCCTGATTCCCAGCCAGAGCATCTGAATGTGGAGTGGATCACCAGCTCTCTTCTCATTGCTCACACTTGATTCTTCCAACAATTTCACACAGTAAGGACTCAAGTCACCCCCTTCTAATGCTTCCAGTATAGACCAAAGCATTTATCTCTGGATAACTCTTCTCAAAGGTTTCACTGCCACTTTCATGTGAAAGTTTCATGTTCTTAGAAACAGCACCTTTAGGTCAGTTTGGGCACAAAGAGAAAGAAAAACGAGCACAAAAACAGCCACGGCTTTTGTTTGAAACCCACTAAACTTTGTCCCAGTATAGAGAGTAGGACAAGATGGCTCATCTGTAACAGCCCCAGCAGGAAAGGGCTGGTGTGTCTGGTGGGCAGGAGAGGCTTCAGATGCTGTACAGGAGCTTCTGATTTGCTGTGAGCACCTTGCAATCTCTGGTGCTCACCCCTGGCAAACAGAGCCAGCCAGGTCTGAGGATGTGGGAGGATGCCGTGACAGCCTGTGGCATCTGATCCCAAGCCCAAGATGCCTGGGTAAGGCTTGCTCCTCACACTGTTACAGAGGCCCCTCACTTCCACACAGAGACCTAACACTGAAGAGATGTTGCTCTTGGATAACCACTGAACAAGAAGGCCACATCACAGACACCATGGCAAATGCCACATCAAGTAACAGGGACTCAAGAATCATCAGTGGTTTTATCACCTCAAAGTATTTGGCTTTGTACAATGCTCATGAGTGTTAGGTATTTTCTGTGTCAGATTTTTTATTTTTTGCTTATACTACAATCTGGCTGGGAATTGCTGACAGATTCATATAGGATCTTTTGCACTCCAGTAATAGGATTTAACTATGCAGAGCTTCCTCAAACTCCTGTTCTCTGAGCTGTGATTCCATACATGAAAGATGAAAGGGAACATGACTCTCTTCCATTTTCTCCCATCTTTGCATCCCTGCTCTCTGTTATTTAGTGCCTGGAGGTTGATACATACGTACACACACCCAAAGACACACATACAGACACACAAACACACAGAACAGCTCCATACTGGGGCCTTGTAGGCTCTGAAGGCTTCCTGTAGCACAAATCACTCTAAGCCTTACAATGGTGAGATCTCACCAGAGCCTGTTCATGAACAAAGGCAAAAACCAGGTGTAACTGACCTGCTGGGTTCTTTTCCTCAGGTTTGGGGTGCATGAGACGAAATGGCAGCTCTGTGCCCACTTCACTTTAGGGAGAAGAAAGAATGCATCAGATCCACAGCTCCACAAACATGTCTGGTTCAGCCTCCTTCCTCCTCAGGCCAGCCTGAGCCCTCAGCTCCAGCTTCACCCATTCTTTCATATTTTTCTAATAATAATTTTCCTCTCAAAAAAATTTAAGCTCAAATTTCTCCATAAATATCCCAGGCATATTCACTTACATAGACTGGGTTTATTGTGTGCTGAATGTGCTTGCATGTATATAAAATCAAAAGATATTTTTGTAATAGCTTCATTTTCACAGGAGAACCACAAACTACTTGCTTCTAACAGCTTAAGGGACAGTTGCTTTTTTTAGGGAGGTGAGAATGGCAATAAACAAAGAGAATAAAGAGATGAACTAACAACTAGGACTGCATGGTCTGAAAAGGAAGAGGACATTTACCTGGAAGTGAGGTCTCCCAGTATGCTACAAAAGAAAAGGAGAAAAACAAAGAATGTTTAATGTCTCTCTATTCTGGTGCTCCAGCAAGTGCTGTTTAATTGGTGGACTACTGAAATAACTTTCCTCATGTACTGTTCTCTACTTGCCACAAATTCAACTGAACTTGTTTCTAAAAAAGGTAGCCTTACTTTTTCATGTCATTCCCATGGACAAAGAGTTTAGTTTTTGAACTCCTGACCAAGTGTTGGGTATGGCCCCTTTTCCAAGAGCCAAAAGGCAAGTGGATGACCACAGAAAACAGCAGGTATTTTATCACAGTATAGACAAATCTTTGATGCATTTTTACAGTAGCATGAAGCATAGATAAATGAAATACAAAGGTAAATGGTGACTAGCATCAACTGAGAGTCACAATCCTGGTCCTTTTTTTGCACTGTATCCTGGATCTAACTCATGTTGATAACATCAGCTTTACCCAGAAACCCAGAAAGGTTCTGTACTGACTGACTACAGAACCTGAGCTACAGTATTTATGACTCTCAGGCACATTCTGCTTCTCACCTTCTGCTCTGGGAGAACAGCCATGCCAACAGAAGAGGTTCACACCAAGTTTCCCCTCACTTCTCACAAAGTTTCAAAGCTAGGTTATACCTTTGAAACAAAAATTGCGATGCAAACCAGAGGTTCCTACTTCAGCCATGAAGTTATATGGTATCTAAGGAGAGTAACACAAGCCATTTGGCCCAGGACAAGTTCTATGGAAAGGCCAAGACTGTTTTCCAGGCAATTTATGCTTTACAGGGAACCTCATATCCTATAACATGTGCCCTTTCTCTTGGAGTGGACTGTTCTGGTCTCTCCTCACCCATCAATGACAAACACACTCCCCTCCCTTAACTCCAGGCAGATGTAGCAAAAAGTGTGTTACACTTACCCTGGAACAGTGAGCTTCACTTTGATCTTGTAAGAAACCAGAATCCCCATCACTGTCTTGTCTATTCCATCCTTAATGCTGCCAGAGAAAAGAGAGAGCAGGGTGAGGTGGCACAGCAGTATAACAACACACACACCTGGAGCAAGAACAAGGGGAACACCCTGGAAGTGGCAGGCAAGCCTCAGGTGCAGCCAATACCTCTCCAGATCGTGGTCCCTGTTCACCCTGAAGGAAAATCATGGCATTAGTAATGGTGCCATATGTATCCATCCAGGCACAACAAAGTCCTGAGGGAAGTGTCTCCTCCATGCTCCCCTCCTCTCTCTAACTCTCCTACTACCTGGAACCATTTAAAACTCCACTCACATGGTACTAGAAGCCAAGTTGGTGTCCTCATCCTTCAGTTTTCCATCCAGAGCTATTTCCCGTGTCTCCCGGTTATTTGCAAGCAAGGGCAGAACTGTCAGTGTCTTGGTCAGGCTACTGTTTGGCAGCACCTTTTCACTGAAAATAAGAAGGGAAGTGATACACTGTGGTTTGTTACACACCCAACTAGGAAAATTTCTAAACAGGTTACAAAGCTGCCCAAAAGGAGAGGAATTTATCTGTGCAAATTCAGTTGTCAACAATACAGATGCCCACCTCTAATCTAGTCTGCAAAATTCCCTTTCTAATCAACAGAGAAAAACAAGCACTTATAGAAAATGCCTAATTTTACATTAAGGCAGAAAAGTAGGTCAAAACCACAGAATAATGGAATAGTTTAGGTTGGAAAAGCCCTTTAAGATTATCAAGTCCAACCACTAACCCAACACTGCCAAGGCCACCAGTGAACCATGTCCCTAAGTGCCACATTGATTTTTCCTAATATCTAATCTACACCTCCCTGAGTGCAACTTGAGGCCACACCCTCTGTGCTGCAAAGCTCTGAATTTGGACAAAATGAATCCTAGTTGAGAACACCAATACAGAATGGAAACATGTCCCTAAGCTACAGAGCAGAACACCAGACAAATATAAAGCACCTGGGTATGCCCAGCCCTCCTCACAGTGTGGGGTTCAGAGCTGCACTGCCAGTACAGTGAAGAGAAGCAAGTGACTCTCCATAACATCGACAGACTCCAGATTTCTGTGGGCTTTGTCAGACCAGAAGAAACCAAATGAAATGCTCTTGTTCAAGCAAGAGTGTCCATGACTTCCAGTCAAACAGCAGCACCTTTCAGAAAAGTGTTGCATCTCTATTTAAAGATTTCCAGCAACTGGGAACCTTCTGCTGCCACCACTAAGCTCATCTAGCAGGTAACTACTCTTCAAACCTCCTCTGCAACATGCCCATTCCCTGAAAAAACATGAGGATCTCTGCTGCTCTGTGAAAACCGGACCAGCTGCATCTAAAGAGTATGAGTGGTATGGCACACACAAGGTAAGAGAAGAGAAAACTGTGTCAGTAGGAGACTGCCAGACTGTAAGTATGAGAACCTCTCATCACTGATGATGAGAGTAATTAAAAGGTGTGAAGGAGCAGGAGCATTCACTCACTGTGCTTCCTCAGCAGCCACCACTTTGGTGTAGAAGTCACTGGAGTACAGCACCACATTGGCCACCTGCTCCACTAGGGAGAAAGAAGAAAGCAGACACTCAGACAAAGCTGTGTGTTATCTAGGCACATTCACAGTTAGCAGGAGCATCACACTGACAGGAGCCCTTCCCACTGACCTCCCAATAAGGGTGCCTTTCCCCCACTTTTCCCACACCTGCATTGCCCATTGCAGGAGCCAGACCCCTTCTCTTTTTCTATGGGGGAAAATCTGGTGCCTGAAATTAGGACATACAAGTAACCACAGGAATCAGGAGAAAAGCTACAGCACTTCACTTGACAAATAGAAAAGAAACAGCAACACACGGGGGGAGGGACAAATTCCTGACATCCCCAGCTGCCTTCTTAAACTGTTACAAGCACTAAATCCTGCCTCTCTTTCAGACCTATTGCACTCAAAGAATCCCAAGCAACAGTAAACACATACCCTGGACTTTGATCTTCTTCACAGTTTTGTCTGTGTTGTTGTTGATGGTGACAGTGACTGGAATGGGCTCACCATGGTAGTATACCTAGAAGGAATGTGATGCTCAGAAATCCAGCCAGGAGACTTCTTCTGAGCCTTAACCCCTCTAGTTCCCCCAGATTACACCTCACAGTGGCCAGACAGGGAAAATGACCCCTCCCAGCGATTCATGACCCCTCCTTCAATGACTTCAAATGTGTTTGGCAGGGCTTCAACCACCCCTAGCAGTAGCCACTGACAGAAATGACATTCGAGCCCTTGAGTGCTGGGACAAGTCAGTCTCAGCTGAGAAAGCAGCAAATGCCCATTGGCCTGCAGGTACCACGATGCCCCCAGCCCCAGGGCAAACCCCCTCACCTCTTTACTGAGGCAGGCTTTCATGTGCAGGGGCTTGTTGGACATGAAGAACTGCCAGGTGGTCTCCGCACAAGGCTGGGGTCCTGGGTTCTCCGGAGCATACTGCACCTTACGGATCAGCAGACGTGCAGAGTTCCTGGGAAGGAGCAGAGGACACCATGGTGACACCCAGTGCTTGGCAGAGGCAGGAGCTCTGCATTCCCATGTGCTCACACCCAGGAAGTCACTGACAAGGGGGCAAAGCTGAACAAACAACCCAGGTGCATCACTGGACCACCCATCCCCTTAAGGCAAAGCTGAAGAGAGACACATCCTGTTACCTCCTATGAATTCTCTCTTCCACATTTTCTGTTGAGAAAGCTTTCACCTCAAAGTCCACCCCACAGGTCTGCCAGACAGAGAAAGGACAGCTGTGAAATCAGGATCAGAAGACGGGAACATCTGCAGATGTTTCAGTACCTTTCTGCACACGAGAAACTGGCAGACTCCTGCCAGCTGCAAATTATTCTGGCTTCCCACCACTGTCACAGACATCCCTGACAACTGGTGTTGGCACATTCACCTGTTCTACAGTGCTTCTGATAAATGAGACTTAATCCCAGCCTCTGGGAGATGCCATCCCTCCTCCTGAAAGGCTTCCTGTGAGACCAGTGCTGGAAAGGTCACATCATAAGACTGCCCAGTGTGCTGCACTGCCTGGCCCACCCTGGGTTTCTGAACTGAATTTCTGAGTTGGCTTTGTAATGCCAAAACCAGCATCTAAGGAGTGGAAGTGATCATGCCAAGCTAACCTTTGCTTTATCAGGTGTATAGCATCATAGGGCACCTGTGTGAGTCCCAGCTAATTCTCTACAGAGACATTTTTGCTAGAGTATCATTCCCTGGCATAAAACACAGGTAATCCCTTTTGCACTAGGTTCTACAACCCTCATCCCACTTTGCCTGGCTGATTGCCCAGTTCTGCTGTCCAGACAAGCATCTAGTCAAGTATAAAAGGAATATTTTTAACAGTATCAGAAATCTTGCAGAACATGTAATTATTTAGCAACTTTTACAACAGGTTTTTTGTTCCGTTTACTCATATGTACAAGCCAGCTCTTCTCTGCATTTAATTCAGGGCAGGTCTCAACACATGTTATTTATAGCAATCTGTGAGATTTTAGGCACTCGGTCTTCTTTTCTTTCATGTAGCCTCACAGCCACAATCATTTTATGTGCAGCCAAACCACAAATCATGTGATAGTCTTAAAGAAGCTACAACACTGCAGATTTTGTAGTCTTGCTGCTATTTGTTTGGATTCCCTTTCTTATTCTGAGAATTTCAACTCCAATTTATGACACGTACTTATAGCCCTTAGTTCCTGACATTTGTAGAATCAGTATAACCTTCTCCTACTCTCAAGCTAAACAAATTCCCATGGTTTTTTTCCCATCTGACTTTCCTTAATCCCTATAAGCACAAATGTCCCACTGGCCTCACCTTATCAACATCACGAGGTGCAGGCTGCAGGCAGACTGAGCAAGGCAGGTAATCTGGAAACTGTGGGAGGAAGAAGAGGAAATGCCCCAAACCAATAGTACACAGATGTTTTAGGTAACATAGTGCTCACAAAAGCAGTCCTGAAGACAAGGGATCATTCATTGTAATGCTGTAACCCTTTGGAATTCTGGCTAGTATACTTGCCTTGTATGAACAAATCTCTTTCTTCCAAAAATACTTTAAAAGTCAAGAAAGAAAAAAAAAGTCCATGCACAATGTGAATCTTCCTCAGGAACATGAAGACAGACATATGAGTGACAGTACTGGAAGGATTTCCTGTTAGAATTTGGCAGTCAGCTGTCATTTGTCATCAGCTTTCAAAGACCCTTTCATCTCCTTATTTGATCCAAAGTTTTTAAAGGAAAAGGATTTGGCACTGGGGCAATGGTAAAAAATATTCCAGCTCCTCAGGAACAGGAAGGCAAGAATATATAGGCTGTTGCTAGCATAAAGCCATTGCAAATTCCCTTGCCTTTTTTAAGAAAGCACTTCTCACAGTGGTGTGATCACTGCTCAGTTAGATCTTCTTGCACTTTACCTCTCAGGATTGCAAGAAGTAAGAAAAACATTGGTAACACCATCTGTCACTCAAAATTGGAACTTGCAGAACATGAATTCACTATAAATTCCCATCTTCAGTTCATCACCAGGCCTCAGCAGCCTGGTAACTACAAACAAGAAGAGAATCAGAGGCTCTTCTGAAACACTTACTGTAAAGAAAAAGGGATAAGCATTTTTGCCCAGCTTCTTTAGCAGAGATTCCTGCAAGAGGGTGAGAGACTCTGGCTTGTCAGAAGGCGGGTACACCTGCACCCTGGAGAAGAAGAGGTCCCGGCGGAAGGCGAGGCCGATCACGTCGATGTCCTCCTGGCCGTAGCGGAACACGCACGTCAGCGACACAAACACTGGCAAGAAGCACAGCACAGGTGAAACAGGCAGCAGGAAAATGGTGGAGCCAGGCTGAGATGGGGACACCTTCTGCCTCAGGGAGACATGGGAACTCATTTCAACACTTGCATAACCCAGTGAGGACTCATCTCATGCGTAACAACAGACAACATTGATAAGAAGCCCATTCACTGAGGCAGAGAGGTACATTTGTACCCTTCCAAGGTTCTACCTTAGCATCTCACTCAGAAAGACAATTTCTGAGAAATACATTGCATAAAACCTCAAACCTTTTTTCCCCTTGATAATAGCAGGATCCACCAATACAACACCATCTGAAAGAAAGGGGAAAAATGAAGATTAACACAGACAAAAGCAGGGTTGAGAGCAGGAAGAGCAGCACACAACCTTGTGGACTTACCTACAGGTTCTACATTCCCTATGTTGTCAATGTAGTCCCGCTTTCCCAAGTAGATGGTCAGCTGTGGGGACAGGATGACCACAGTTGAACAATAAAATGTTTGTGGTTGTTGAGGGAAGGGGGACACACATCAGAGAGCTATAAATTTTGCAGAGATCAGAACAATTCCATTTTAAGTGGATTTTTTTTTTCCAGCAAACATGCCACCCCCACCAGACTCGACAGGATTATCCACCTGCAGGACATCAGAACTGAAGACCTGATCTAGACCAACTCCCAAAGATACAACACAAATACTTGTGCATGGAATAAAGAAGTGTAGATTTAAAGATTTTTGGTGCTGTCAGGTTGGAAAGACAATGAATCAGGTTTGTTTTGAACACTTATCAGTGGAAGTACAACCCAGGAGGAGAGTGAGGTGAGCTGCCTTGTCTTGTATTATAACACATGAAAAGTTTGCCCTAAAAACTGCTTACATCATCTCCTCAAACTCAGTAGTAATATAGGTCACGCTCCTTCAGAACAAAATAAAGGGGGCAGGAAGGAGCTTTCTAATAAGTCTTCAGTCCGAGTACAAGTAAAACTCAAACCTAAATAAGCCCATTATTACTGTACTCACAGCTTTGTCACGGGTGCTTTTTCTGAAGATTACTTGTTTTGGAGGAGAATCAGCATTCTTCCCACCAGTCCCAGTCTTTTGAGACTCAGGGCGGCTCATGGTCAAAGACAGGGATGTGACTGTGGGTGAATGAAGCTTTTCTGTCCCCAGATGTCCTGTGCCAGATGCCTGGGAAAAATAGATGGATGAGATAAAAGCAGTAGGTAAAGCACTGTACTCCTGTGCTGTTTCAGACCCCCTCACACATCCAAATGGTGCCTCTGTCTAAAAGCTACCAAGGTGGTTTGTGTTGATAAGGAGTCAAGCCAATCCCCAAATAAGAACTCATCTGTGCTGTTGCATTTTCCTCAACCAGAACCCAGTGCAGCCCATTATGGGCAGAGCAGCACTGAGCTCAAACCAGAATGCACCATAAGGATAGAACAGTAGAACAGTCCAGCCACCTGCCCAGAAAGGCAACAATTACACTTAGAGGTAGGGAACAGCTTGCACCTGAGGAGTAGAAAACATATGGAATAAAAACTGTGGAATAAAAATTCTTCAGGAGGAGAAAAATAAGGAGGGAAAGAAAAGCGGGGAAGCAGTGGAAAAAAGAAGGGAAGAAGAGAAAGGGGAGAGCACAAGGGCATAAGAGATATCCAGAGAGAGAAGTGCAGAAAACATGAGTGGTACAAAGCAGAGAGAGATTAACTTTTCATTCTGTTTTAAGTCACAAAATAGCATCCAGTTAATGATCAGACAGCAAATTTAAAATAAGGTGAAGCATTTCCCCAGTTAACAGAAGATTCAAGGTGGCTCTGGTAATCATCAATATGAATTGAATCACAGGATTACACACATTCACAGGGAAAAAGGCTTTTGGCAGCTGTTGGACGAGGATCCAGGAGCAACCTTAGCCCTGTAAGATTCTGAAGCAAAGGAGCAGCATAAGGAAAGGATGATGCCACACAGGCACCATCCTGTCCTTACACTCCTCACCATCAGAGCTGTGTGAATGAGAGCACTGCTAGATAGACCCCAGCTCTGATGAGTATGACTGTCCTTGCAGTTTGCTCCAATTCTATTCCTCAGCTTGCTTTCCCATTTCAAAACTGCTTCAGGAGTAAAACAGTTTCTAGGGCCTATTTGCAGACAAGAAGCCATAGAAAAAGTAAATACTTGGCTTCTTGGAAAGCTGAAAAAAATGTAAGGCAGACATTAGAAGCAGACCATACACATGTAAGCATTTCTATTTTCATTAAGTAGGTTTTTCAAGCCCAGACCAGTATTTGTTGCTGACTAGATATGCTGTAGACTCAAACAAACACACCAGCAAATAACATCAAGTACCTTGCTGTGTTCAAAGTGGCACAGGAGCTTCCACAGACAGTGATGGGAACTTCTAAATTATTGAAGAAAGATGAATTTTCCAAGGTAGCTGTGTCCTATGCTTCTTTGCATCTAGCAGAGGGAATTACTGCTCTCTTCACAAGCAAGGAAGACAATTTGTAGGGGATTGGAAAGCTCGTCTCCAGTTGCGTCCATCCAGGATTTCAATAATTAATCCCTCTGCAAGAGCAAATATTGTACCTGGGCTGAGATTCAGCTGGGAAGTGGTTAAGTCAGCAACAACAAGGCATTAGCTAAGGACAGCTAGTCAGTGAAGAGGTGTACAATGTCCTGTTCACATGTTTTGCAAAGACTTATGAAGCACAGGCCAGCTACTGAAAGCAGTTTATTCTAAAGCTCTATCTCCTCCTTCCTAGGGCTGCAAGATATGCAGCCTGGTAAGAAACTGAACAGACAAGAGCCATTTATGAAAAAGGGAGTTTATAAAACACTAAAATGCCATTTTGATGGCCCGTCAAACACTGAGAACAATGCACTATTCTCAAGATCACTAAGCAATTTATCTATTACTGCTTCACCAGCAGCCAACTGACATGCTGATGCAAAACAATAGACTGCTGGTTTGTACAATCTCCTCCTCAATTTACTTAAAAAACCACAACATCTAGGATTTAAGAAACACAGATATTTCAATTAACTTCAGCTTTGCTGCTCCTTAATCTTCCAAGAGTAGCTTTCCCCACCCACCAGTGAATTTGGGCCTGGTATTTTGCACAACAGTATATGTTAACTTTTGGGTTGTGAGTTGTAGGAACAGCTGTAGCTTTCCTCTGGCTGCATCTGTTCATTTGATTAACAAAGATCACATGATATCCTGTCCACTTGCCAGCCTAACAGCTCCCTCCAGCTCAAGCAAACTTGCAGTCACAGATCAAGCTTGCTTTTCACAAACAATGACTGACATTTGCCTGAATATAGTGGCCAGGGCTACACAAATTACTCAAAAAAAAAAATGAATGACAGAGCCAATGTTCCTCAGCTCTTTCAGGGCTCCAGCAACATTTTATTAACTGGAGGTGGATTATTTGGAGAGCCTAATCACTACTCTGTCTAATCAACTCTGGCAAACACAAACCAGCCAGGCTGGAACCACAGAAATTCACACGTGCCTGTGCTGCAGAAGGGAAGCCAGGTCCTTATTGTAGGAAGTAAGGAAGAAATCTCAGAGATGAAACTCAGTCACACTTTGCAAAAGCAAAAGGGAGGGAGCTGGTTTTGTACAAGTCTGTGCTGCAGCCACTGCAGGGTTATTAGTTCTCCAGGAGAGGATGAGCATTCCTGTTGGCACATGTACCATTGCAGACATCTTCAGAGGATCTTGGGAACAGCTTCTCTGTAACACAGGCTCCTAGTGCACCCTTAATCCAGAGAAGAAAGATGCCCAACCCACCCCCAAATCCACTTGAAGGGCAGCTCCACCTCTGGCAGCACAACTGCTACAGCCACCTCTGCACTGCAGGTTCCTTCATTTGCTCTTCTTCTCTCTGCAGGCTGGAGCAGGAAAGGAGGCAATAGAAGTAATCAAAATATAGGAAAAAAAGAAAAGCTAAAATTGCTCACTAGAATGTCTTACATACCTGGGTGCTAAGGAACCCTAATCTAAAATGCTTAAGGATTTAGCTAGCTGGCTTCTATCCTTCAGCATTATTAACCTGCTTCATAACAGCATCAATGGGCCTAGCAAAGCCCTTTGAGTAAGATCTGTGTCCATGCTGTACAAAAACACAAGTGCAGCAGTCTAAATTATAAACATCCTAAACCCATTCTGATCCTCCTCAGCAGAGCCTGCAGTTTTTATTATGCTAATCTCCCAATAATCTTTCATCATGCTGACTTGCCACTTCGTGATCTGCTTTCCTGCAGTAACCAAGGTCACCTGGACTCGTGGCAGGTGCCTTTTCAAGGACCATATGCCACTGCAACAGGCAGAAGAAAAAATACCTTGCCCTTTGAAACTGTTCAGAATGCCAACTTTCCATTTTTGCTACAGTTCTCACATCCATGAGCTGAATAAAAGCTTATTTTCTGATGAGAAACAGAGGGTGGGCCAGTGACAGCTATTGGTTATGAAATTTGTACATTGAAGAGCTGAAGACTTTGCTTCATCACTCTGAAGCTGGAACCAGAGCAACATCTTCAAAAGGGTTTTTGTGTTTTTAAAGAAATGTGCAACTCCTATTCCTGCCTTAAAAACTTGACAAGCTAGCCGTCAAAGCCTCAGAGCAGAAAAAGACATCTATTTTTAGCAGTGTTTGAAATACAGATCCTGATTTCCTCAGTTCAGTAGTTTATCTAAAACATCCAACAATACATCAACCTTTCAAGGACAGAGACAGAGGCACTTGTTCAATGAGGCAAGACTTTCTTCAGTCTCAAGGCAGGACTACTGACAGTGCAAGCCCAGGCTGCACCTGCAGGACATCTAGCCCCAAGCTAAGATCATTATCCTTTTTCCCCCTTGACACCAAATTCCACAACTCACCAGGAAAATGGCATTTCAGATCCCCCTCTGCACTTATTCCAAACAAGATCTCGCACACAGATGCACAAATAAATAAATCAGAGCAGTGTGGGGTTTTAAAAGCAGAACACAAGTTTATTTACAATCAAGTTTTTATGGGCAGCTGAATAAATAAAAACTTTGCCCCATGTACTCTAATTCCCCTCTGCAGAAAGTGTCTGAGCGAAAGGCTGGGTTAGAGGGAGCCTGTCAGACCAGCTCCCCCAACCCAGCCCCTCCAAAGAAACACACTTCCATAGTAAAACACTATCGGGAAAGAAGAAAATAAAGTGCAAATAAAAAGGCAATAAAACGCTGGTGGCTTGTCTTGAGGCCCAGATGATGTGGAAAGGTTTGGCTGGATAAGGATATGCCAGGTAGCTCACACTCAGACACATCATGGTTCAGGGTGCCAGAACAGGGACAGAGCTCAGACACCGCTCCGTACCACAGAGGGCTCCAGCGCAAACGGGAATATTGCACGTGTGCTCAGGAACGGGGCAAGTGGCCTGGAATTGCCAGCACCAAAACAATGCATTTGGGATTTGATGCCACTGCTCCCCTGTGTACTGACAGCCGCCAGGACAGGACGGATGAACAGAAAAAGGAACCAAACATCTGTATTCCAGGACTGAAGTCACAGGATTACTACATTCCTCATCACTGCAGCACAACTCCTAGAACAACCTCGCCAAGCTTAGCTCTCTCCTCACACCAACTAATCAAACTGCCTGTGGTATAAAAAGATTAAAAAACCTCCTATTTTGTGATGCCCAAGCTGTTGAAGGGCATTTCAACACAAGGGTGCGGAAGTCCCGAAGAACAAACAAACCGTTGCCTCAAGAACCGATACACAGAGTTCACAGGATAGTGCTGGAGAGCCTGTGCCAGGATCAGAACAGATCTAAAATGAGCTGATGACTCAAAGGCAGAGCTGTCAGAGCCATGGGAGACCCTCTTTAAAAGCTGTTCCAACACTTCAAACTGCCTAGGACGTGTTTCAGGATCTTCTCACCCCATGCCTGAACTAGGCCACCAGAACAGAACACAGGAGACAGAACATGCTTTAAGTCAGCATACACAATGACTTCTTCCCAAAGTTTCCACCTCAGAAGTGCTGTAGATACATTTGTGTGACAGGATATTTGGCACAGCTGTCTGGTGAGGAATCCCGCTAGTATCTTCAGCTCCACGTGGTGCATAGATACTGCAAGTAAAGGCATGACTAAGTAGCATTCTCCATCTACAACAGCTAATCCCACTCCGAGTCCAAGTGCCACAGTGCAGTTTTGGCCATGAGAAGTCTCTGACTCAGGCTCCTTTCTCCATTGCTTTAGAACTTCCCACTGGAAAGCAAAGCCCATGTGCTTGTCCATATCCTGACTCTGGATGGATGTGGGCTCGGGTCTCCATGCTGTGCAGGCACGGAGCAGCACCAGCACATTCAGCCTCTCACCCTCCGTCAGTCAGAACTCAGCCCACAGCACAGCCTTGTTTCCTTTGTCCACACTGACCACGTGGGCACCCGATGGTGACCACGTGACTGCATTGATAGAAGAACTGAAAGGGAAGGCAAGAGTCAGTTTAAAAAAAGCTGAATTCCACAACAGCACTTGGCACTGGAATGAATTACTGTAATACTCTTATTGCCAATTAAAAAACCCACTTTCTCACATCTCAGGAGACTTGGGCTTTTAATAAGTCTGAGGGAGGTACAATTTCTTCAAAACATATGGAATGCACTTTACTAGAATCATATATCAGTTTAACAAGATAACAACAAATCTAATCTAATTCAATCTAGAAAATACTGCCATGAATCCACAAAGAACTTGCATATTAATTATTCTCACATGCCAATAAAAGTTGTAAAGCTGTACAACTCCAACTTTTTGATAGCTCAGCAAGATCCACAACCCAGATCTCCAGCCTAGGCTGCATGTCCCACTTCCCTCACCTGTGATGCTTTGCAAGCGTCCTCTCCAATTTCCCAGTAAGCACATTCCAGATGTAGAGGGCCCCATCAGCTGAGCCAGCAGCCACATAGTTACCATCAGGGCTGTCACATCAGACCAGGTGCAAAAGGCAAAGAACAATTTGCAAGTCAGCAATTTTCAGCTCACATCATCATTCCACCCACAACTTCCTAAGCAAGCAACTTGGCATTAAATAGTCTTTTAGGAGTTATGTGTTATCACCTGCTAATACTAAGAGGTGAAAGCACTTTGAAATCAGAGCATTTCCAAGAAATTGGATCAATATTTACAGATACACTCTGGCTTGACCAAGAGGTAACCTGGGACAAATTACAAACTCTGCCCCGTTTTTCTAGCTGTAACAGGGGACCACTGCAGTCAAGCATCAGGAATCACTCAGTTTAGCTGGGGAAAGGTTTATCAGGTATCTTGTTTACCTCTGACCTTACCTGAACACAACTCTTGTCCAGTCAGAGCCACATTTGAATCCCTGGGCACTGGAAAGTTAGAATCACATAACTGTTAACTCATTTATGAGAAGAGATACTGAAGACAATGTTAAGGATTTCTGTATGGTTTAGAATAAACTCCAGCTTTATCCCAATTCATGTTTCTCATACACCCTTCTCTCAATGGCACCTAAAGAAATTCTTTCCTTTAGAACAGACTTCTAAGCCTAGTTGCCTTCTTTAAAGAGAAACATGAGAAGATCCATTAGAGCAGATCTTTGCTGTTTCTAGACATTCTAGAGAACTCTGCCATATAGAAAAGCAAAGTGAGGAGACTGCCCTCTTCACAGAGGTCCTGGAAACCACTCCAGCACTAAGGCTAACCCACAATACAAGGTCCTGAAATTCACAGTGCTCCTGTGAGGAATACACTCACCTGAAGGTCTGCTTGACAGCACTGACCCGCAGATCAATGATCTTGAGCAGATCATCACGGGAACAGGTCAGAAGCTCTGTTCGCTCTGGGTTCAGGTCCAGAGCTGTGATTCTTCCAAACAGCTCCAGTTCTTTTACTATGCTTTCAGTCCTAAAGACAGAAAGAGGAAAGAAAAAAAAAAAAAAAAAAAAAAAGACAGCTGTGAACTAGGGTCCAGAAGCCAAACCAGTGCATCAAAACTTTGACCTGTCTCAATGTGGAAGAGAAGAAAAAGGATTACTG